GCGGGGCCGGGGGGCCGCGGAGGCGAGAGGGCGGTGGCAGTCCCTCCGGGGTCCCGGGAGCTGGCCAAGGTGCTGGGCGGGAACAGGCGAGAGGTGGCAACCTCGGGGAAACGTAGAGGAGCACTGCAAAGGCAGATACCTTCTACCCCTGTGGAATAAAAGCGACAGCAAAATTTTTAACCAAGCAGTACTGCATAGCTAAGTGTGCAATACGAAAATAATGAAATGCTACCTTTTCTGGAATATCTGTTGATCTAGTGTTTTACATCCTGCTTTGGTCCTACCTTTCCTTCTGCCTCTGTCTGAAATGCTGTTGTAATGTGTGTGTGTGGAGGGGAGTAATGTGCGTACCTGATTCGGGAGGAGAGTGCATGAGTGAAAGAGACTTATGACGACCTGATACAAAGAAAGCAAAAGTTCTAGTATCCTGACCACCATCTCGATTTGGAGCCTCAACCAATGCAGTTAGATTCTAGGGAGCAGTGCTGACTCGTCTTCAAGATTAAATGGACTGGAAAGTAGAGGAATAATAAAAGAGAAAGAAAGGGAACAAGAGGCCCAGAGTCACGACTCACTGGAGTCCCAATGACACTGTGTCCAAAATACGTTCTTATGGCATGGTAACAGAGAAGTACTGCAGTGCCCTTTGGTGTCGATATCGAGAGTCACGTGTCATTGTCCAACACTATTAAAAGTTTCTTCCTTGTTACCTGTAGTTAGAGATTTGCCTGTGGTTTAATGCATGGGAGTTGTCTCTTGTACTCTCCTCCATGCTGCATTTGCAAATCTATATATTATGAAAACTAATGTTGGAAAGAAGTGCTTTAGAATAAATGTCATTAATACATTTTAATCCATGTGAGAGTAATATAGAGAATCAAAGTCCCATAAAATGGGGCTATGAATTTGGAGGAAACAAAAATGGAAGTTACGCAGTTAGCAGCAGACAGATAAATGCAGAGACTTTTGAAAGCCAGATTCTCTGCTGCTGATTTTTTTCTTTCTCTTTTCGTCCCTATCCACAGGCCCTTCAGTAGATGCTGTGTAGTCTTGCTCTCCCCAAACTGTGTTTTGCACAGTCTTGGCATATTTTCTTTGACCATATTCTTATCAACTGTATCAAGGTAGTTAAGGAGTTCTTTGTGTCATCGGTCTCTCCATCCTGCTAAATCTTGACATGTTAATCAATTGTAGAAACACTCCACAGCATCTAGGATGAAACCTAGAAAAGGACATGCATAGTTGTTGTGCCTGTAGTTAATTTGTTACCTGTGAAATCCTAAAATGTAATGAGATGTCCAAAACCTCCTCACATCGATAGCATCATAAAATAGGGTTCTGCAGAAACCAGCCTGCTTGAACCAGTGAGATGACCTGAATGGAATTGTGAAGAGGGATGAAACGTGAGCTTGTTCTCAAAGCTAGTCATGGCATCTGACTCTGTAATAATATTTAGTGGTGTACTTCCTCTTTCAACCCTTTCCCACAGAAGGATTAAAACCAAGAGAAAGGAAGTCCTCCTTGGTTGATGTCTGAGTGGCTGGGATATTCTCCTGGAAGAAGTACTTTTCAAAACCCTGTTTTGCTGGGCTTCAGTCAGGATTTCTTGCCTCCAAAATGAATGTGGCACTACTGGGTTCCTCGGGCATATCACCCTACTCCAAAAATCCCATCCCCAGCAGTCTTTGGTGAAAGTATGATCTGATGGACACACATAAGTACCTCAAAGATCATGTCGAGGCAACAAGGCAGATGGAGGAATCCTGCTGGTGCATAACTCTTTGCTTTGCTTTCCGGTAACCTGGTATAATTAAACTGTGGGTTATTCTGTACATCTTCCTGACAGGAACTGGGATGGATCTGTGGTTAGATAACTGCTATGCAAAGTTTCTAAGAATCTCACTGCACCAGATTTGATATTGAGTCTCAATAACAATAACATTACTCTAGGGTTAACACCTCGAGGAATTGTTATAGGAACTCTTTTGGGAATGGTGCTTCATTTAAGATTCAGTCTGGATGATCAACAAGTGGCAGTATGTGCTGGAAATTGGATCTACGTGTTAAGTGCAAAGGTGAGATACTATTCTTTGTAGCCGTGGTGCTGGTATTTCTTTAATTTATTCACTTTCAGATAAAATTATGATACAGAAATGTCAGAATAATTAAGCAAAAGCATTCATTTTTCTCGCATAGATCACGTAATTATGAACTAATGGTTGATAATGCGCCATATACCAGATAGAAGACTAGGTGAAAAAAGTTGAAGTGAAACAATATCTCAATAACTTAGAAGAAGAAAACATTCTGAGGACATCTGAAAAATTACTCCTCTTATCATTCATTCTGAAGAAGGAAATGTAAGGTGTAGTGGTTTTGCAAGCAGGATGATATACAGAGCAGCAGTTTCCATCAGAAAAATCTTACTGAATTAATATCTTGAATCCAAATCTGACAGTTTTTAGCAACAGTTATTATTAAAACTTGTAAATAATTTTAATTTTTAGTTTGAAATCTAATCTGTTTTTATTTTAACTTGACTAATCACAGAGCGAAGCTACACTAACTGAATTGGATGGCCACCGGGCTCCAGTGACTGCTGCTGAGTTTTGCATATGGCAGAAAAAATGCTTGTATCAGTGTCAGAAGACAGAACCTTTAAGGCAAGGAAATTGTAGAGCTGCACTTTTAAAAAGTATAATTCAGTGAATATGTGAAGTAGTCTTTTTTTTTCCCCTTTAAATATTTTCTGAAGATAAAGCAAAATATATATTTGACTTTACAGAGATCAGGACATGGTTCTTAGAGTTGCTTGGGAAATTATTGTAAAAATTAATCACTTTTTTGAGAGGACAATGCAGGTTTTGTATATTCAAAACTTTCTACAACGATGCGTTAACTTTGTTGATTATTATCATCTGGCAAATGGAAATAAAATATTTTGATCTGTTTGGCTCTAACTGAGATGTTTCAGTATGCTGATCAGAACAAAAGCATTTCACTTTAAGTCTGCTGATATTGATTGGAATTTTCCCTCTTGGGAATATTGGTTTGGGTTATTGCATGCAATGGCTGGATTTTGCATTGCATGTATGGCTGGCATACTGGTAGGATTTTTTGCCAGACAACTTTTTATATGATGACACCATGGATTGTTGCTGGTCTGCGTGACGACAATTCAAGACAACTTAGTAAGGGGAAACAAGGAGCCTGAGTGAACCCAGGTGTATCTTCCAGGAGAGACTAGGATGGGTACCTTGATTAGATACAGTTTAGCTTACTACTGATTGTCCTCTACATGATTCTAAGCATAGCCCAACATTTGGTTTTACAAGCTTAAATAAAATTAAAGTTTGCTGTTTTTAAAGTTTTTGGGTTTTTTTCTAAAGTTAATTTTTGTGTATCTCTTTGTTCTGGAGAAAATGTTGTTTTGAGTTTTGTCCTGGTCTTTGACAAAAAAAAAAAAAAAACGCAGATTGAATTGGAATTTTAGGAAATATTAATAATTCTGACTTTCTGATTGATTGTTTCTTATTTAGTTTATGTTGGTCTAAGAAATCAAGGTAAAAATGATTGAAGGAAAAGATCTATATGCTTCTTCATGTTAATTTAATGAATTTAACGACTTGATGAATTATGCAAAATCATAATAAATAAGTTGTTTCTTTTTTTTCACCTCAATAAATGCAGGGACTACAATGACAATCAAAATATTTTCCAAGTATCTCAAGTAATGTAGTAAGTCTTCAAGTTCTGTTTTCTCTGCCTGATCCTGCAGATCAGGGGTAATTCCCTGAGTGCAGCCATGCTGGAGTCTGTGATAGCTGGCTCCTGTGATTGCAGGACTTGCAGTGTCCAAAACCTCATGCTCCCCTAGTCCTTTTAATTGGCAAAAGAAGTGAGACAGGTGAGAATATCTTCAGATAAATTAGTGAAACAAGATCTTAAGAAACAGCTTTTCAGAAGAATTATATTTACGTTCAGAGAGAAATGAAACATGAACAAAGAGAAAAGCTTGGGAGCTACACAAAGGCTCACAGCCAGGTTTAGAAAGCAGGGACTGGCTGGCTGAGACCTTTTCAATCCCAGCTTTCATAGCTATGAGAAACCTTGTGGAAGTATTTGTGGAGAGGAAAGCTCAGAGAGGTAGCAACATGAGAGGAAAAATTTGGTTCTATTTAAATTTCTATTAAGCACAGAATACATCACTTAGAAACAGTTATGTGAATAATGAAAGTTGGCTTATATGTGGGTCTATAGATAATAAGTATCATTACTGTCAATAATGACCTCTTATCCCAGAGCCCAATGGAAAATTGTGAAATTATGCAAGCTCCCTGTGTGAAAACTAGAACCAGTTCAGGTACGTCTTTTCATTAATTTAGCTTAAGTCACTAAGACATCGACCTAAACAAAGATGATAATAGCTACTTCTAATTACTTTATGCATCCATGCCAGGTGAGTTTCACCTTTTTCAATAGGGATACTCATCAATTAAAGAAAGCCCTACGTATTTTGAGAAAAATTCAGAAAACTTTCTTACCATATTGCATCTCTTTCAATGGCTGCATTTCTCAGTTTTCACTGCATGATGGCCATTGAAGTTTGTGTGTTCCTTAAAGATCTAAGTAGCTGCCTATCTTCACTTTCTTTTTTCTAAAGGTGTGGGACTATTCTACCGGCCAGTTAATATATCAGTCAGGAGTATTAACAGGTAAGTTTTCTTTTTTATATATATGTTTTCATAGGAAAAATACCATCTCTCTCTAAACAATAATATAAAGTTATTATAGAAGTATTTAGCTGATCTAGTGAAAATAATCCCAGTAGGCTAGCTAGCAGTAAACATATTCTCCTTTAAAGCCAGTAGCAAATATATTTTCCTTTAAAGTGTACTTCTGGGTAGATAGAGTACTTTATAAATAGCTCTTTTTGTACAGGGTGTGCATGTAACTGTTGCCGTTTACTGAGACAGGCAAATGGAGTTCTCTTGTTTTGCAGGTACAGTTCCACTGTCTGAGTACTATGTGTTTGTTTTCTTTCAAGTATTGTGTATGACATGGAAGGAAATACTTTATGTATACCATATGTAGATTTATTAGCAGTATCTGCAGCTGATGGCATATATTGACTTTAAAGGTGAAACCTACTTTTGTGGAAAGATGAGAGCAAAAGGAGAGAAGAGGATGAGGACAAGCATTGTCTCCAGTGCAAGCAGGCACCCTTCCTCCAACAGCACTTTTCCTACAGGAACAATATCGTTTTCAACAGGACCTGCTCAGGCTCTGCCTGTGGTGCTGTTGGTGGTGACTGGAGCACGCTCTGCAGGCACAAGCTGCGCAGAGACTGGTTGTTAAGCTTTGTGCATATATATTATTGTCTGAACTCGTGTAAACTCCAGGCTAAAACCACATGGTAGGAAAGGAGAGGAAGATGTGATGATTCCCCCCTGTTCGCCTGTGGCAATTCCCTTGAAGACCTGCTTTAATTGCAATATCAGGGTTTGCAGGTGCAAGGCCATGAGAGTAACAGCTGGGAACAAGAAGAGGGAACTACTGTCACAGGGGCTCTGAAAACTGTCACACAGCAACTTGGGTGAAAGGCAGGCCATGCTTTTTTTCACTTGTCTTTATGAATAGGAAGATTCAATTTTGAATCGTGCTTTTTAATTCAATATCTGATTTGTGTCTAGTCTGGAAATAATTTTGTCTTTTTTTTAAGCAGCATTTCCTTTGCTCAGTCTGCTAAGTGATGAAGAAACGAAACAGCTTATCACTGGATGTGCTGACGGACAGGTAAGATGTACCCGTTAAACTTAGTCTCTGTGTCAAAAAAGGCCAACTATTGTTAATGTATCTGTCTATAAAAAATCTTCACAATCTGCACACGTTTTGAACTGTTACAACAGTTATTTTAGTAAGTGTAATTCATTGGTTTGCTCATAAACCATATGTGGTATATAAGACCTGTATTGCAAAGTGGAAACTTTTCCCTGAAAACCAGGAAAGTTTTTAAGAGCACAATCAGTGATTACATAAGAGGAGTACACTGAGAGGCTCTAAATGTGTCTGTTTTAAAAGAAAAAACATGAAAAATTGGGTTCTCCTATTTTGGCCAAATAGTGAAGCACATGACAATATATGATTTCAACATGTTGGAATTCTAATCAAAATGTCGTAAATGTGAATGTGCATTTCACCTCCTCTTTAATTTAAAGTTAAGAGTATATTTACAGCTGTTTTCCTTCAGTGTTATCATTCAGTGAATTGCGAAGAAAAATTAAAGGTTTGATTATAGTGGTGCCTAAAAAGAGAAAGGTAGAAACGAAGTTCATGTACATGACTCAGTGAGCAATTACATGCAGGTTACTTGTTATTTTTAACTGTGGCAAATAGTCTATGAGGATTTTTTTTTCCAAGACACAAACTCATGGGACTTAGATGTGCAGTTCAAATTGATAATGGCTGCTTTTGCTAATATTGAAATTATCCTTTGATAATCTTAGAAATGCGTATAATTAAATTGCTGCTCCAAGGTGAGATTCCAGGTATAAAAATTCATTAGTTACATCAACAGTTTTAAATATTGAACCTTTAGTTTGTACTCATGTAAGCTTTATGTTTAGTACCAAAAGGTTATTGCAATTGCTTTTTCTTTTTCTTGCAGCTTTGGATCTTCAGTTTAATCAGTGATCATAATTACCGTTGCGTGGCACATATCAACTTAAAGAAAGAGCAAGAGAAATTCTGCAGTAAATTGTGGAAATCTGGCAAAGAAATAGGTAGCACAGCTCTTCTAGAATGCTGTTTATGATATATTCTAGTTGTTATTGGCTACTGAGAGTGTGTTTTTTATACCATGGGAGTTTATTATAAGTGATAGAGTTATGAGTCTAACACTGTAGCATGGAATTCTTACTGAAGCTGATATGAAGCTGGGCAAGGCATATCTGTGAAGAATTATTCATGTATGTCTGTAATATAATCTTGGCCAATGTATCTGCTTATAAAACATTGCATGATGTGAACTACTAAGTATTTTTTTTTATTGAAGTCATTGCCCAAAGCTTGAGAACAGAATCAGTGCCTAAAAATCATCTATTGTCTAAGTGGAGTACCATTTCTCTGTTACTTTTGAAGCTTCTAGGAATCTCCTTTCCCTCCTTTTCTTCCTTTCCCTCCTTTCCCTCCTTTCCCTGTGATGTAGTGTCTGTGCCTAATGCTGAATTCACTGCTAGGAGTTCCTAGGTGTGAGCTGCCCACACATAGTGGCTTTGGAGACTCCTTGGGAAGACGAAACCGAGGTGGCATTCCATCTTTTTTTTGGATTATGTTGTAACTTTAGTGTCAAAGGAATTTTCAGGCTAAGTGGAAGGGTACCCAGCGTATTTAAGGGTTGTTGGAACACAGCTTTCAGAGTCACTTTTCGAGATGAACACACCTAAATTCCACCAACTCCTTTTCATCACTGAAGTAGGTTCCTTGGATTTTATCTCTATGTATTTGAAAGAAGATGGTACTAAAAATACCATAATAATGAGGAAAGATGTTTCAAGAGGGCTGGCTCTTAGGAGAACCATCTTTTGAAATAGAAACTTCTTGAGTGTGGTCTTAGCTCAAGGTACTTTCCTGCTTCTAATTCTCTCTTAAATCGTATCTGTTTCCCTAATGTAATTGTTTTTTGATAGCTAGTGTTATTGATTGTCTTTCTTAGGTGAAGCACAAAATACTTCCAAGCTTTGCAAAGCAAACAACATGAGATCAGAAGGATCAGTGGAAACATCATTGCCTATCCTCTTAATTGAACACTGTGACTTTTTAGGATGTTTCCATAATGAAGAAAACACATAAGTCCTTCAAAATCATAGAATCATAGAATCACAGAACGGTTTGGGTTGGAAGGGACCTTAGAGATCATCGAGTTCCACCCCCTGCCATGGGCAGGGACACCTCCCACTAGCCCAGGTTGCCCAAAGCCTCATCCAGCCTGGCCTTGAACCCCTCCAGGGGTGGGGCATCCACAGCTTCCCTGTGCAACCTGGTACCACCAAGTATTTGTCTGGAATCTGTTCCTAGGAGTTCATATTGGTTCTTGCATTGTTTTAATTCCACCTTAATAGTTTTTAAAAAGTGCAGTAGGAAAATCAAAGAATGTATTTAGTGATCTGCAAGTTTTGGTGGCCTACTCTTAGGCAGGTAATATACGCAAACTGATACAAAGTTAAAAGCGGTTTCTAGTCTGAAAAATAATTTTATAAAAAAGGCATTGGGAATATCCATTTGATATCCTATTGATACCCATTGATTAGGTAAGATGAGCTAGAAAGCATAGCTAAGAAACCAATTAGAATTAAAAAGCCAAATTTATTTTTAGTTTGCTTTCCTCTAAGGAAATAAGTCTGATGCAGTCACTGTGTGCCTATGTCAGTTTGCCTTCCAAATTTAAATAATTTTTAAACTGTGTAACCTGTCTTAGCTAAACTTCTGTCAGAAAGACAGACATTTCAAAGCATGGTGTTTTTAATCCTTCCCATGGAATTGGTTGGCCAGGTAGAAGAGAGATACCTAAATTAATCCTTATATTGCATTTCTTTCCTGAAGAGAAGTTTAACCATATTATCAGGCACCTGAGGATCTGTTCAGGTTACTGCCACAAGAACTGTTTCATAGAACAACCTGTTTTTCTTGTTATTTGTAATTGTCATTTGGATAAATTTATCAGCCTCGTCGTGTTTTAGGAAACACTTGTTCCACCCTTTGCCCTGTGGTGGGTTGTGCAGATATAACTGATTAATCCTCTGGTTAGATAGATAAACAATTTTTGATAAACAGAGAAGAAAAGTATCCATCAGTCATGGATCATTTTGTTTGTCTTTATGTCAAGTTGAGCAGTTAACAGGTATTTTCATGCTGCCTACATTTTCAGAAGGACTACCATTGAGAGGTAGGAAATGGGGATTTTTAAGATGCACATCTCAGACATACTTCAGTGGAATGTCACAACTCTAAGGCCAGAAGATGATTTTTTACAGTCAGTCTTATTGCTTGTATCCAACTCTCAAATCAGCAAAACTTTGTCTTCATCATAACTATAGGTGATTAGAACTACAGCACATCTTTAAAGATGTCTAGTTTTCCAGTGATGAAGAATCCACCATGTCTCTAGTTAAGTTGTTCCAGCAACTGACTCGTTCCCTTTTATTTCTAATCTGAACTACCCTCTTTTTACGTTATTGGCTCTTGGTATGATTTTTATTCTGATCGTCTAGAGCCAGTGGCTCTCAAGTTCCCTCCTTGCTATAGCTCATGAGCAAGTTATCTCTACACTTCTGGATAAAGTAGTTTGCACCTTGTTTAAGGCATGTTTTCTATAACATTTTTAACATTTGCTTTTAAACTTTTTCTAAAATTCAATCTTGTTTCTTTTTCAATGCCCTTTTTGGACATGGTTGCCTGAAATGGGTCCACAGTAATAGGTTAATTGAAATAAATTTTTTAATTGACACAACATCGCTTTCCAATATATAAGTGCTATCTACCCTTTCAGCTGTTGGATCACAGTTGGAGGTTTTGTTCTGCTTATAAACAACCATGACCGTTAAATTCTGACTATTAATCCAATTCCATTATCTTTTGGTTTTAAAGTTTTTTATTTACAAGTATTTTCCTGTTTTTTAAATTGCCATGTGCTGGTTTTAACAGATGGTTTAGATTTGTCTGAACAACTGAGAAATCCCTAATTTACCAATTTTTTGCTTGCAATGAAATGTAACAATGAAATATTTCTGCAACACTGATCTGCAAAAAATTATGGGTCTCATAGTTGCCTAAGCTTTTTTATGTTTTGACATAATTTAATCATAATGGATGGCATTTAATTGTTACAAAGTGGGCATGAGATCATCTTCATATATAAATCACTTGATATCATTGTTCCTAATAACTTGATAGTGCCACTTCTTTATAAATAATTCAAAGAATTCACAAATTCAGTCTGTTACTGCTGTGCATTAAAGTAGTGCAAACCACAAATAAAACTGTAAAGAGCATATAAAAGTATCACAAACCAGAACTGAAAATTTCTTTTCCTGTCTGGTTTAAAAGCATTTGACTGCTTGTTTGTTTGTTAGTTCATTTTTTAATAAAAAAACCTATTAAGCCACTGTGGTGACCCTTTTCATACCAAGTTTCAGATTTATATTTTTCCATACCCTTACTTCAACTCTTGTAGTCTGACTTGACAAATTAAACTGCTAAGTCTGCTCACTCTTACTTGGAAAATTTATTAAAATGTTAGTGTCAATTTCTATTAACTCTGGCATCAAAATATTTTCAGTTTTTGAGAATGACAACCATTATTTTGTTATGATAATTTTATACTTTATAACATTTTTCTTCTGCAAGGGTGTTGACTGAAGCTGTAACCAGTTGGTCTACTCCGTGGTGTTTGCAGAGGCTGGATTTCATTACCTAACTGCGATACTACTGCCACCAAGCACAGACTGAGCCTGACCTTCCAGGCTTGCCTGGGTTTTTTTCCCCTTAGTTTGTGCTTTTTGTGGGTGTTACAGGTAGTAAAACTAAGAATATGAGTGGATTTGCCTGTTTGAATTTACTGTTTGTGTATACTGTGCTTTTACAGCATCTCCCAACTGTTGCAAACTACAGTAATTTTGAAAGAAAAGTCTTTCCTATGCTCTTTTAGACTTGCCACGAGCACTTACATAAAATCAAGGATTGTGTTGTGTTCATAGTTTTCAAAACTTCACCATTTGATTGAAACTTTTTACTTTGAGCTACAGAATAAAAAAAAAAAAAGTTGCTGTAAATTTAAAATCTTTTTTTTGGTGTGGTTTATTTTTGTTGTTGTACTGGGACTGGGTAACAAGTAATAAAAAACCCCAATTGCTATGTCTTGTATGGTAATAAGAAAAGCTTCTTTATCACACTCAGATAATATTTTCTCCTTTTTAAAATAGATCTTCTGCCCTGAATACTAGCTATTTTTGGATAGGAAGCTCTACTGGTTTGTTAATAATTAATCTGTCAAACTTTGAATTAGAAGGTTTTTTTATCTTACAAAGGTATGGTTATAAAATATCTGACTACACCATAATGTTATTTCTTTCCTTTGTTGCCTAATATAAATAGTATAAGAATTAGTTTGTGAAATTGCAGAATACAGTAGAAACTAAGTGTTTTTTAAAAGATGGTTTTTTTCTAACTCATTTTTGTATGTTTTTCTGGCATTGCTGACTTGACTCAGAAGATGTGTTGGCACTAGATTTCTGTAGTGCTAGCAATGAATGAGTGTGAAAGACAAGGAATGTTATTCTACTCCTACTTTATAATGTGGGGGTAAGCTAGAAGGATATACACTGAAGACAGTAGATTATGGTGGTGTCAAACTAGTATGAGTAATTTTTCTTGTCCTGCCTTAGTGATAGTTTTTTTCTTTTGAAATCCAAATACAATTTTATAGCACTATGTTCTTTTTGGTAAAGATTATAGTGACCTGAGCATCTGGTTTGCCGGATCATGTGCATTAACAGAGAAGGCAGTTAATGGAAAGGTGAGTGTAGAGTAAACATTGGTTTAATGAATGTTTACACATTCAGTTATTTTCAATAAATATTAATGATGCAGTTTCTTTACAGATTAAAGTATGCATTTGTTTTGCTTGATGCGAATTACACAGTAGTTTCTCTGGAGAGGGTTGATTCTTCTTTATGGAATCTACCATTTAAATAGCTGGGTAGCTTTAAAGCTCTCACAGTTTGTGTGCTGTCCAAAGTGATTAATAAGGAAAAAGTGAATTGTTTTTTACAAAGTTCAGTGTGTACCTTGAATATCAAGAATGACCATTGGGAGAGCAGAGGCAATCTTTTCAGGGAAAAAAAAGATAGAAGCATTGTTATACCTTGTTTCTTAAACAAATGTTAGGATGAACTGCTCTGAATCCTTCAAAGAAATCTGTGAAAACTATTTGAGTTGTGAGAAAGTTTCTGTGGAAAGTCACTCAAAGGCCTTTTAAGGAAATGAAAGGTTTTCTTGTTTTTATACTCCATTTTTGATGTTAGAGTTTTCCTACGGAACTGAGCTGAATCTAGGTCTTTCTACATGTTTAACATAGCAGTGCTTTGTTTTAAGGAAGGATTTTGTTTTGAATCCAGTTCTTAGCATGTTCTCAACATGTCTCTGCAACCAATCTTTCTTCGATGTGTGCTTCTTTTCTTATGACTCTTACTGCAGAAATATCTCTAACGTAGAAAGTATTGGAATTTCTGTGACTGAAAGGTATGCAAGTCTGTTAAGACACATACTCAAACAACATAAGTATATTTTTGAAGGACAGCATTAACAACTTTTTACTGTTTAAGGCTCTGCAAGACTAAACCCATGGATATTTTTGACTAATTTTCATAAGTGACACAAAGTTATTTAATTTTCCTTTACAAATGCTGCAGTGTTGGAGTTTATACATTTATGTATTATTAAATTATTAAATTATAAATTATGGATTGTTATTTACGGTATAATTGCTGCAGGTTTTATGCTTGATTACCTCAATATTTGAAGATATGATTTCTCTGTTGGAAGTTAACCTTGCTGCATTGGTGAGAACTCAGAAGAGTAATTTTCTCCACTGTGGAAACAGCAGCAGTCTATTGGTTGTTGCCAGGTACAGAATAACTTTAAATGTTTTTTTCCTCTGAGTTGGATTATGCATTTATTTTCCTGACACTGAAGTGCATCAGATGGGTTTGTACAGTGCTATTTGTTGACATGGTTTTATTTGACATGTTTTCCTGTTATGCTTTAGTTGTATTGAGTAGCAGAAATCAGAGAATTGCAGAATGATTGAGATTGTAAGGCATCTCTGCAAGTCAATTTGTCCAACAGCTCTGCTCATGCAGGGCCACCTAGAGCCAGTTGCCAGCACCATGTCTAAACGGCTTTGGAATATCTCCAGGGAGGGAGACTCCACAAGCTCTCTGTGCAGCCTGTGCCAGTGCTCAGTCACCCTCACAGTAAAAAAGTGTGTGTTCAGACAGAACCTCCTATATCTCAGTTTTTGCCCATTGCCTCTTGTTCTTTCACTGGGCAGTGGGCACAGAGCCTGGCTCTGTCTTCTTTACAGCCATGTACTGGTGCATAGGATTGTTCCTCCCCAGGTGCAGGACTTTGCACTTCCCCTTGTTGAACTTCATGAGGTTGCTGTCAGTCCCTTTCCCCAGCCTGTGGATGTCTCTCTGGATGGCAGCACAACCTTCTGGTGTATCAGACACTCCTCTCAGTTTTGTGTCATCAGCAAACGTGCTGAGGGTACACTCTGCTCCTTCATCCAGATTGTAAGAATCGCAGAATCATAGAATCATTTAGGTTGTAAAGGACCTTCAAGATCATCAAGTCTAACCGTTAACCCAACACTGCCAAGTCCACCACAAAACCATGTCCCTAAGTGCCATGTCTACACATCTTTTAAATACCTCCAGGGATGGTGACTCTGCCACTTCCCCTGGGCAGCCTGTTCCAGTGCTTGACAACCCTTTCCGTGAAGAAATTTTTCCTAATATCCAATCTAAACCTCCCCTGGTGCAACTTGAGGCCGTTTCCTCTTGTCCTATTGCTCGTTACTTGGGAGAAGAGACCAACACCCCCCTCACTACAACCTCCTTTCAGGTAGTTTTAGAGAGCAGTAAGGTCTTCTCTCAGTCTCCATTTCTTCAGCCCCAGTTTCCTCAGCCGCTCCTCATCAGCCCTGTGCTCCAGACCCTTCCCCAGCTCCGTTGCCCTTCTCTGGACCTGCTCCAGCCCCTCAATGTCCTTCTTGTGGTGAGGGGCCCAAAACTGACCCCAGGATT